GTGACAGAAGCAGTCGGAGTGCAGCGGACCAACTGGACAAGGCGGATGTCAGGATCCTCTTCGGTGGTTCCTAGTGAGTCTGGAGCTCTCCCCTTATATTCCCCCTCACCCCTTCCCCCGCCTCCTCTGTCTTCCCACGCTAATGCATTTGCGTCTCCTCGCCTTACTTAATTTTTGGGAATAATTTACTCCTAACTTAATTTCTCCATTCCCTATCGAAGATGATGAGACTTTTCCTTGAGTTTCTTTCCGCAACGAAATTGGCATCTATTTCTTCTTCCTGGTAACTATTTTCATGCACAAAACGAAGTCTTGGAACGATGCCACATCTTCCCTCCTTCCATTTCGATGAGAATTCATTATCATGACCCTCATTCGGTTTTTCGTCATATTTGTTCTTTAAATCGGGAGATAAAATTTACAGGAGCTCCTCGTCCTCGCGGATTTCAACCTAGGGTCCCTAAATTCCATTATCAGTCCCGTTTTATGGAATGAGGAAAGATATTCAGATATCATTCCGAAGAATGCAAAAATAAAAGTTTGCTTCAAATTCTTAAGAAATTCTAATATGAATTTTAGAGAATGTCTCCCATCGTCACAGTATGCACGTCGAACAAAATTTTATTATAACTTTTTTTTCCAAATTTCTTTGGAAAATAGTGGAAAAGTAATTCTCATCACCCTTCTTGCTATACCACGAATTCGATCCGAGGAGGGATATGTCTCTACCTTAAATGGGGCTAAGGATTTCCTTTTTTTTTACCTGTTGGTAATGCACCACGGCTGTTTTTAATTTTAATGGCATTTTCCAGGGTTCATCACTGCGATAAAAAATTGTTGTGACGTTGCACTCTTAAAAGTCGCCAGTTTGTAATTCCATGATTCAAACTTATATTGTACCGTCTCTGGTATGATACATCATCGCGATATCAACTGACACATAAGTGCACCAAACAGAGCTTTATTCGCGTCTCGTTTCCTCGAACATGCGTGTTGAAGTGAACATAGAATTAAAATAAAACACCGCGAATGGTATAATCAACCTGCTCCTTCTACTGAAACGAAAAACGACATCGTGCAACCTTCCGGCTGCAGTATGTCCATCAAGTGCGGGACTCCTCTTCGTGTCGGAGCCACTGACAGATGGGGTCGGCTGCCAGCTCGCACGCCGCCTGGTTCCAGCGCAGGTAATAATCTGAGGATGAGGACAACCGACGATCAGTTGTCGACAGTCGACGCAACATCATCGACCGAAAAAGGTAAAGGCTACTGATATCTGCTATCAGCAGGCGCCTCATTCAAGTGGATCAGTGAAATATATTATAGTTATATCAGAAGCGGATTGTCTCTTCGTTCATAGGTTTTTATACGTTATCCCCTCGAAACCGTTTCCTCCCTCACTAACACTCACCGGAGTAACTCCGTTTCCCGAAGATGGACCCGTTGAAGAGTTCGTTGGGCTTCCGCCTGGTGGCATCGGTCCGCTGCACGAGCAAGGATGCCAGCATGAGTGTCACGCACAACAAAACGAGACTTCGCTTCACCAGACTCATCTGAATGGGAGAAAAGTGATCAACTCGACTCGCGAGCCGTCTCTTGCAGCTGGCGGAAACGAAAGAGATTCGCGTGTCTTCGACAGATTTCATGAGGATCGGCACACCGGCAATTACATATCTCTGTACCGGCAAGTTCCAGATGCATCTGGGGCATCCAGACGTCTTGGCGAGACGTGAAAATGCGACGGACACGGTCGTTCCCACTATCGTGTGGACAATATAGCACGGGATAGCATGTCCACCCTATCATCATCGATGCGAATTCCAAGAGAAGGGCATCATGATATTAAAATCTCGTTTTACCTCCTACAGCCAGCAGAAGTAAACGATCAACAAATCCAAGTAGGGAAAACCTTTTCGAAAGTACTTCATTCTGCATTCCTAGGCGCCGCACCCATACACATGTAAGAACATTATACTCACCCGAAGGAATCCCCCCAAACCCCCCCCCCCACTTGAGGGAAAAACTGCACTCACAGTGACAGAAGCAGTCGGAGTGCAGCGGACCAACTGGACAAGGCGGATGTCAGGATCCTCTTCGGTGGTTCCAAGTGAGTCCGGAGCTCTCCCCTTATATTCCCCCTCACCCCTTCCCCCGCCTCCTCCGTCTTCCCACGCTAATGCATTTGCGCCTCCTCGCCTTACTCAATTTTTGGGAATAATTNTCACCCCTTCCCCCGCCTCCTCCGTCTTCCCACGCTAATGCATTTGCGCCTCCTCGCCTTACTCAATTTTTGGGAATAATTTACTCCTAACGTAATTTCTCTATTCCCTATCTAAGATGATGAGCCTGTTCCTTGATTTTCCTCCCGTCACAAAATAGGCATCTATTTCTCCTTCCTTGCAATTATTTCCATGCACAAGACAAATCTCGGTACCATGTTATATCTTCCGTTCTTTCGTTCTGATGATAATTCATTACCACGGCTCACATTCCATCTTTTATTCATATTTATTCTTTAAATAGGGAGGTGAAATGTGCAGGAGCTTCTCTTTCATCCGGATTTCAAACAAAATTCCATTCTCAGTCCCCTTAAAATTAAATGCGGGAAGACCCGACATCATTCCGAAGTATGCAAAATTAAAATATTGCTTGAAATTCACTGATGATTAAGATTTTCTTACATCGTCACAGCATGGACGTCAAGCAGAATTTTAAAATAATTCATGTATTTCTCATTTTTTTTTATAAATTTTTTAGAAAAAGCCATTCATATTTAGTTTTATTTTTTAAGTATGGACGGGCTGCGTTATGGTATCCTGATCTCGGAATGAGCTGTTAAATTGATACATTCGTCCTTAGTGGAACTTTCTACTGAAAAATTTTTGCAATAGAGGATTACAATGATTTGTTCTCATCTTCGCTTTCACACGCTTTATTTCCAGCGGAAGGAGGGAGGCATTTTGGCATTTCAGTTAAACACGAACGAAGTTGGCAATCAGAGAATTTTGGCCTCCCACCGCCACATCCATCGCAGATTCATATGCAAATTCGGAATCATAGAAACAGAGAAGAGAATTGACGAAGCAAATATTTTGAAGATGAAGTTATGAAGTCTCAGATGTTAATTTCAAGAGATTCGGAAGATATTCGCTTTACAACTCCGTAGGCTGGCTAATTTTTATCCGATTTTTGTGGCGTAAGCGTGTGAAGTCGGAAAAAAATGCTTACCGCTTTACTGAAGAGCTATTAAATGTTTAAAATAATTTTGTAGTCGAAATCCATGCTGGGGTGAATTTCCGACCGGTCAGGTCCGGTATAGGTGAAGGGTGAGTGGGTAAATAATCCAAATGGAGATGCCTGACGCCTTCGAAATCGACTTGATCCCGTCGCTTCAGTGAAGGATGTCATTACCTATCTCCGACAGACTCGGCAATGGGAGCCTCGAGTTTCGGAGGAGGCAGTGAGAGTGTTCTTTCCGGAACGATTGGATTCGTGGATGGTCGTCAGGGAAAAGTAGAAGTAGATAGTCCCATTTCCCTGAATCTCTCGGTGGAATCTGCAAGGAGTTTTTTTTTCTTCGGAAGGAAGCATCTAATCTCCATAGACGAAAATGGACGGAGTCTGCCCTTACGAAAATGTCTTATAGGATTCCTATATATTCCTTTAGGAATGTATAGGAATCCTATAGGAAAACTATAGGAACCTAAAGG